GACTCTTGCTGCCTGGGCATGGGGGCCACTGAGGAGTTCTGAGCTTGGGAACTAATTCCCCTTGCTCACTTATATCTTGGTGACAATCAGTGACATCAGAAGAGAAAAGACTTTTCAGAGTCCCTTCACACTAGTTGTGGTCTATTAACATCTGTCAGAAAATCAATTGAACAATATTAAGACAATGTTTGCATGCCATTTTTTTTTTAGTGCTTCTGTGTGTTCATTTGTTTTTCCTTAGTTATCGATTATAACAAAACAGAAAATGTATAGAATAGAATTCAGATAGAATATATTTCTCACATCAAGAAGAGGTTCTATTTTGTAAAGAAGTGTGCTAGTCAGGGTTGTAAAGAGAAACAAAATGAATTATCTCTATCTTTTCATCAACATCCTTATAGAGGCCAGGAAATCAAACAAGGTGGAGGAATTGGGGAGGCTACCGGTGGACTCTGATATCTAAGATCAGGAGAAAATTGATGTCACGATAAGGAGAAAGAGAGAGAGAGAGAGAGAGAGAGAGAGAGAGAGAGAGAGAGAGAGAGAGAGAGAGACTTTCTTTTCTTTTCCATTGATTGAATTGGTCTGTGTTGCACAGTGGGGGAAAAAAGGAGAATACACTGCTTATTGAGTCGTCTGATTTAAGAAAAATTCTCTGCTGGAAGCATGTTCAAAGACAGATCTGGAAATAGCACTTAAAACCCTAATCCAGTCAAATTGATACCTAAAATTAGCCACTGCATGAATGTGCACATTTTAGAATGGTGTAAGGAAATGTCTGGCAGTAGAAATTCCAGGAGGACTGCAGTATAAGCATGCAGAATAAGAGGGTGAAGGCATCATAGCTATATAACTGAATGCACTCCCTTTATGGAACTGTAAAAAAAAAAAAAGTCTAATAAAATAGCCTGTACTAACAGCTCAACACTTCCCTCAAACCAGGGTCAGCTCTTTCTTTAGTTTTGTTTTATTTTTTTTTCCTTTCACTGAAATTTTTTTTCTCATATACTATATCTTGATTACAGTTTCCCAACTATCTCTACCACAGCTCAACACTTCCTTCAAACCAGGGTTAGTTTGTTTTTACCTTTTACTGAATTTTTTTCTCACACAATATATCTTGATTACAGTTTTCCAACTATCTCTTCTCCTTCCAACTCCTCACCTCACCTCCCATCTGGGTACACATCCCTTTCTCTTTCGTGTTAGAAAACAAACTGGCTTCTATGAGATAATAATAAAATACAATATAATAAGATAAAACAAAAAACTAGCACAGCTGAAATGAACAAAACAACAACAACAAAAAAAAAAGAAAGTAAGAAACTAAGTGAAGGTACAAGAAATATGCCCACTAGTTAGCACACACAGGAATCCCACAAAAACACTAAATTGGAAGCCATAACATATACACAGAGGGCCTGGAGAGTAATGAGAAAAGATATAAATATAAATAAAACAAAAATAATAAGATAGCTTTGTTTGTTTGTTTTTTGAGGAAGAGGCCTAGATTGACAGTATGGGGCAAGAAACATACAAAGATACTATTGAGGTCATTTTATCTTGTTCATCTATTCCTGGTCGTGCAGTCTACCCATAAGAGTAATTTGTTTCCCCAGTGAGACTCCCTTGAAAGAAACTAAATTCCTTTTTGCAAGTGATTATCAATTGGAGATGGTTTCTGGGTTAGGGTTGGGAGCATTTGTAAATTTTTCCTTCAGTCCTAGGACTCCAACTGATATACAACTACAAAGGCCCTGTGCGTGCTGTCTCAGTCTCTGTGAGTTCATATGTGCATTGATGGTGTTGTTTTAGAAGGCCTTGTTTTCTTGCTTTCCTCCATCTTCTCTGGCTCTTATACTTTCTCTGTTGCGTAGCAAGATTTGGTAGAGAAAAGACTATGTACCTCACTAACATGATGTAGAGTTTACCAGGTTATCATGTGTGAACTGTGGAGAAATGTAGAATTACAATGACATCCCAGGGGGATGAAGATTCTACACGTTATCAAATATCCTGGCACATCCTTCTTGACCAATGGTCACATATAGCAATGTGGATTGAGATGGGGACTCATCAGCAAAACAAATCAACATATTTATTTTTCTCCTGCTCCTTTTCAACCTACTAGGTCACACCATGTCTGAGTTTAGCAGCAGACCTCACTAAAGACCTACAACTGGATCCCTAGGGAAAGATGTTTTTACTATGATGTATTAGTCAGCAAAACAATAGAGCAGAGGCTATTCTCAACAAAGAACCCATCTCTTACCTCTCATTCCTAAGATATAAGCCACAGATAACAGTCTTCTTCCACACATGCACACACATTATACAAATAAAAACCTATTAAAAATAAAATTGAAGAGACCACTCAGTGGTGAAGAGCATGTGATGCTCTTGCAGAGAGTATCTGTATTTGATCCCCAGCACCCACATTGGGCATTGCAACCACCTGTTACCACAGTCCAAGGAGATCTGACAAGCCTGTCTGACTTTTGATGGTAGTGAATACATGTGTTATACACATACACAAGCAGACACATACACATAATCAAAAATGAAGTTTTGAGAATATAATAAAATATTAAATTTACCACTGAACCAAAAGCCGCACATTATTCCTATTGTTTGCGGCATGGGGATGGCCCAGAAGAAAAAGTAAGGTGACACTCTGTTGGTAAGTATGTCTAACATGCTAATCCTTGTCTCCTGAACATAAGGAACGGCAGGAAAGTGCATGTCTAACACAAAGAAATTTCACTGATTTAATTACTATTCTCTCATATCCAATGATGATTATATGTTGTTAATTACCACAGCTGTGGTCCTATGAAGAAGATAAACAGAGCCTCATAAACTAACTCTGAGGTTAGTGAACAACCTAGCAAATGAGGTGTTGACTTAATAATACTGGAAGATTAGATATTGAATAACAACTGCTCAACTGTTGTCTTCAAGTCCAAAGGAAGAAAGGGATAGGTATTTTGCCCCACTTTGCCTAAAATAAGTACGTTATAGAAACTGAACCAGTACCATGCAGTTCCAGGCCAGATGCAGTACTGAGATTTAGTTATAAGAAACTGAAAATGAGAAGATTTGCAAGTGGAGGCAAAACAGGTGACACAAAAGACGCAGTGGTAAACCTGTTCACAGTTACACTGAGCCCTCATACTGAGAGTCAACCTGAGACAAATCATAATATAAACATAAATGGATAATGTTGACCCAAGACATCATTTCTACATAGAAATACTATCTTAGTAGGAATAGGTCAACCCAATGGCAGTAGAAAGACCACTCAGATTATAATAAATGCTAGTGTATATTAGTCATATTTAAGGATATATACCACAGTGTAACTGAAAGACTCCAAGTTAGTATCTCTAAATTCAAGGTTGTTGAAAGCTAATCTGATGTATATCATTGGCCTTGTCTCCAGCTGAAAGCAAGGTTTATTTGTGGTCCTGATATCTCTTACGAAGATGTATTTAACTAATGCAGCAACCACCTAAATTTTGCTCTTTTATGAAGATGATCACAACCAACAGACACATAGAAACCCACAGTTATTCAAAATTTGTCCTTATCATGCCATATCACATCCCATTCCCACAAATGTTTGGCCTTGTACAATATTTTTGGACCAAGGACAGGGAGGGGCATTACCTAAGTGAGTATTTGTTTGCTACACAAAAAATTTAGTCTATCTCTCCTGGTAAAACATTGTATTTTCCCAGTATCTATCTGTCTGTCTGTCTAATGAATTAGTAGGCATTAGACATGTGTGTATTGCTTGTTGATTGACCTATCAGGCTGTGGGCAGAGTGAGATTGATTCTTAAATGCACAGAACTAACAGCTGTCTTGTATCACTTCATCAAGAATTACTCAGTTCTGCTTAACTGATGAGCTAAACTCACTGACTCAACTTAATCAAGCCTGATGAATCTATTCACATGTTGGTTTATTAGCTTATAATGAACTTGCTGTTTATATTAAGCAATAATGGACGTGCTGTTTATATTAAGCAATGAGGACATTTTTTTTAGATCAAGTAGAACTTTATTTTACTAAAACCACATAAAAGACTGTATTATACACTTATCGTATTTCACTAAAATTTCTGTAAAGTTTTTATTCTTTCTCTTTGTCTCTCTCTGTCTCTGTCTCTCTTTTTCTCTCTCTGTCTCTGTCTCTCTGTCTCTGTCTCTGTCTCTCTCTGTCTCTCTGTCTCTTTCTGTGTGTATGTGTGTGTGTGTGTGTGTGTGTGTGTGTGTGTGTGTGTGTGTGTGTTGGGGGGGTGAGGGGGTGAGGATCTTAGAGCTCCATGAATGCTAGCCTCCAGTTTTAACACTAGGGACCAGGAAAGAAAAGCCTTTGGGAGGAGCACTTTATAGGAGATAGATAGTTATAGATAATATGAAAATAATGGGGTAGAATGCTGGGGTGGAAAAGACTAAGGAACCTGGGTCTAGGAATAAGGGAAAAACAAGAGGAGAGGGGACAGCTAATCCAAAGAAAGAGGTATGAAAAGCCATAAAGAAGCCTATTGTCTCACAAACCAACTTTAAAAATGTATATGTAAAAAGAAAGAAGAGAGGGAACACTGAGCATTAATGGATTAAGAGAGATGAGAGTTCAGGGATGAGGGAGAATAGGGGGTTGTGGATGGGTTAACCAAATCTTAGGAACTCTAAAATTATTGTGGGAAGCTAGCAGTTAATAGGGTAATTTCACAATGTAACTTTTAAAAAGTTCCAATGGAATCTCCTCGAATGGGTTAACAATGTTACTCTCAAAGAATGGCTATTAAATAAAAATTAAAGTACAAGTCATGGGTTAATTTTTCATGTGTTTACTCAGAAAGGTCATACAAGTCTCTAAAACAGCACCGACTACTGCCATTGTCTTGGTTATCTACCATTACTACACAGTAAGTCACCATTGCTGATACACTACCTATTTCAGCTGTAGGATATAGAAAAACCAATATTAAGTACATGCTTCATGGCACGTATACTAAGAAATTGGAATGATACAGAGAAGATTAGCATGACCCCTGGGCAAGGGTGACACACAAATTCTTGAAGTGTTCCATATTTTATTATATTCTTTGTACTAAAAAAAGAAGAAAGAAAGAAAGGAAGAAAGAAAGAAAAGAAAGAAAGAAAGAAAGAAAGAAAGAAAGAAAGAAAGAAAGAAAGAAAGAATGAAAGAAAGACCAATATTAAAATGAGTGCAAAACTTTCTTCCTCCTGGGTAGCTATCATAGTAGCTGAGGTGATGAGGGAGAAAAGGCAACAATGATCTTGTTCAGAGCTGGACCATGCATCCTGTAATACTGACCTGCTAAGCAAGGTCTGCTGACTGGTGCAAAATTGGCATAACTGTTAGGGGGTAATTAACCACTCTCTGATTGGATCTGAGATTTGCTTCAGAGGAGGAATTCCATGGCTGGGGAGCTCATAGTCTTCCTGTAGAATTAATGATATTTTGCTAAGAAGAAATGCTATCAAATTGCCTTTTAAATACCTATGTTTACATCCGTATTCCCGGGCTGCTCTTAGCCTTTGCCTGAGAAGCTGTTTTGTTTTTGTTGTTGTTGCATTGCACATCAGTCAATGGAGAAAATCCTAACTGTTCCAAGTGTTAAAAATAACAGATATATTACTCAGCCATAAATGAAACATCTTCATTAACTTTACCACCACTACCACCAAGGATCAGGAAACATCATGGAAGGGTGGAGCAGGAGGAAAGAATGTAGGAGCTAGGAAATGGGGAAGAGCTCTGTGAAATGCTATCTTCTGACATGACATAACCACCATACTCATGATCTCACAGTGTCTGTGACTATCTATGCAAGACCTATATAAGACCAAGGTAGCCGAAGTCCCAGCCTAGATGCTATGGATAATCTCCAGGCCCTACCACATATTGATAAGCTATTTGTGGTGGGTAGCTGTTCCAGCTTTGACCTGAAAGTACTACCCCCATTGAGGCTTTGGTAACTGTCACAACTACAAGGCAGAGCTGAGACAGGAGCCCTGAAGACCTGAGATCCAGATGTGCCATTGCTCTTGGTTCCTGGATCCTGGATGCTGGAGGTAGACTGAGCAGAGTTCTGGGCCCGATATTGGTTGAAATATTAAGGCAACTCTACATAGTTAAAAAGGGAGGTTTATTTTGTGGGGTAAATTACAAGTGAAGGGATAGGTTACCGTGTCTGGGAAAGGTGAAGCACAGTCCAGTGGTGTTCTCTGGAGAACTCTGATCAGTCTACCTCCAGCATCCAGGATCCAGGAACCAAGAGAGCCAGCACATTCAGATTTTGGGTTTTCAGGGCTCCTGTCTCGGCTCTGCCGTGTAGGTGTGACAGTTATCAAAGCCTCAACGGGGGTAATACCTCCAGGTCAAAGCTGGAACAGCTACCCACTACAGCTATTAGTAGTGGATAGTTGCTGAGGAGGCAGAATCATTATTTTCTAAGATTGTGGCCACTGGTTGAGTTTTTCATGCTCCAGAGGATGGCTCTGGTGTACCAATGTGGGGCTCTCAAATTTCCATAAGGCCTAAACAGTTTGAAAAGGTCTTCTAAACACACACACAAAAAAAACCTGAAGCCAAAAACAGCTTCCTAGTAGTGTCTCAAGCAAGCCATGAGCTACAGTATGGCTGGTTCACAGCATGTGGGCTTGAGCTACAGCAAGGTGGATTTCTACCAAGTTACACAGAGGGTACTCCAAGCCGTGCAGTGCACTGTGTGCTGTAGTTAGCTTTTGCTAATACAAAAAAAAAATGTATTGATGGAGGCATAGACCCACTGCTTCCAAGAGTTGGTAGTGTGCCCATGGCTCCCAGAGCTGGCAGTAAATATACTACCACCACCATATTGGGAAGCTGAAATGGCAGAGTCAGCAGCCAAGGCTGCTACTTCAGTATTAGCCACTGTGGTTTAAAGCAATAGATTCACAATAAGACAGATTCATATATTAAACCCTGAACAGTTTACAATGTGTGTAAAATGTACGTAGGCTTGGAAGACAGAGGAAAATGAATATAGACAGTTATATAAAGAAATAGATTTTTAAAAAGTCTTTAAAGAGAAATTAAAAGTAATACAAAAAATAAGTCACATAAAGATGGAAATCACACAGAGAGTCTGGATTGTGTTGTCTGTCAGATTTTTAAATGCAGAAAGACAATTGTGAAGGCTGCTGAGTTAAACCAATATGTATATTTTAAAGGTATCTTGGCTTCAAAATTTGGATCTAAAGATATGTTGCTTTGGAAAGGAGGCTCTGCTTTTGTTTCCACAGGAAGCAAGAGGCTATGGATTTTTTCTAGGTTAAGATGTATCAGATTTGATCAAGCCAGACCTCCTGAACCTTAACAGATGGTACCTGTCAACAAAGGTTATAGCCAGTCTTCCCAAGACTTGAACATTATCTCAAATTTGCTCAGGATCCTCCTAAGATTGCCAGCACCCTCAACCAGCAGGAAGTAGTATTAGAAGATATGCCCAAATTCCCAAAATATTGTTTATGAATGTATATTTTTATTAAAGGGGGTTGATTATAAATACAATCTCTTTCTAAAGAAGAAAAGGGGACAATATAGATATGATAGGATAAAAGGGTAGATTATTGAACCTATATTTAAAGAGCAACAACTTATTTAAAATGTTTTATATTGCTATGGATTTTAGTTTATTGATACAAATTTAAAGTTGATTTTGTTACACTCTATGTATATTTCTACTCTTGTTTAAGGTATTATGTTATGCAATTTATTTAAAATTGTAATGTATAATTAAGAAATACAGATTAATAACAGGTCATCTATGATAATCAAACTTATAGTCATGTTAGTTAAGTTTTCTGGGCATATATAGATATATGTCAATTAGTTAGGTAATCTACAGACACTTCAAGGACCAGAATATGGCATTTAAAATGTTTTGAAACCTTGGATTTTCCTGGGCAGTGAGACATGTCTGCTCCTGGCAACACCGATTTACTTCAATATAATTTTATTTTGCACAGGGTAGAGTTAATATGTAATAGCAAGCTCGCTGAGGAAATTTTCTCTTGAGCCTAATGCTTTTTTAACTTTTACATAGATATAATAAAATAGCCATTGAAACATTAGTCAGGCACCTGGCATGTTGCTATGGTTCCAGACGTGAGAGAAGTAAGTTATTTGAGAAAGTCAGCTGAATGGACATATTGCTGTCAGTTATTCATTTGCAAATTTCAAATGGAGAGTACTTGCTGTATAGAACTGCTAAAAAGGAAATAGATAGATAGATAGATAGATAGATAGATAGATAGATAGATATAGATATAGATATATATGCACAGTTGCTTAGTGTGGGAAGTTTCCACATATAATCTATAGATACAATTAAGGATTTAGCTGTTTATCTAAGCTTGAAAGCAATATGCAACATGTAATAACATTGATGCATTCTATTTAGCATTTATTGAAGCTGTTATGCATATTCTTTTATTTTCTTTTTAATGTGTTACAGGCCATTCAGTCAGGAGACCAAACTATGGCATTAGCTCTTTAACCTTTGTTTTCTAGCTCTGTTGTGTTCCTACACAGAAGGTCTAGATTGATTTTTACCTATTGTTCTATTCATCAACACATGACAGCTCAAGGCAGGAAACAATAGGAAAAGAAAATATCAAACAATAGATCCCATTTTTGTTTTGCTGAAAACTTTCCCAAAGGAAGAAAGCAGAGAAGATGCCACTTTTGGCATGGTTAATGTTTGCCTTCCTAATTCATTCTTCTAGCATGATTCTCTCTGGTTCATTTTAGCCCTGATGGGATTCTCTATAATGGTCATTAAATTTCAAAGTACTGCACAATTAAGGATTATTTAACTATTAGACCATGTAATGCTACTCTGATTTATGCAAGCTTCATTAAAATCTTTTTCAGTTAAGATCTGAAGGGGATATAGAATGCATCAGATTTGAGAATTCAGATCAATTTAATGAGACTTTCCCTTTCTTGAATTTCGGCAATGTGCTATGATGGTGTTACATATTTCAGACAATATACAGGGACATAAAAGGTTAGTAGTGATGTCAGAGGAGAAATTTAGTATTTAAATATGACAAAGGAGATTAAACATATAGCCAAGGAACATGCACATATGTATACCAATAGCATAGTGAGAGAACAGAAAGGTTTGACTTAGAATGCATTAGACAACTCATGTAAATGCTCTAGCTTTAAATTACACTGACTGAACTTTAGATTCTTTTTTTTACTTCTGGTTAACAAATTATCTGAAATGTAACATGTATCTAACGCAATATGTATCCAACAAAACTTGTGGTGTGTGCTCTACAGGATACTGTTTAGTTTTCCAAAACTGTAAATCAATAAATAAATAAATAAGTAAATAAATAGATAGATAGATAGATAGATAGATAAATAGATAGATAGATAAATAAATAGATAAATAAATAAAGCAGAGGGGAGGTCTTCTCTGACCACACTTTTATCAGTGAAGTTTGGTGAAGGGAATTCTTCTGTGATCAGTCAGGGAATTGAAGTTGTTTGAGACTGAAGACTGGTTACTCTTCCCTTCCTGGCTGTGACTGCAGAGCCCTTCTTCACAAGTCCTTATGTATTGTTTCTCATTAAGTCACTCAAGTGCTGTGTAGTCATGGCAATTTTGGCCTCAGATTCCTAGTGCATCAAACTTCCCTTTGCTCTTTGCTCTTCCTCACCTGGGGAACTTTCGATGCTTTCAGGGTTTTATCTGTTTAGATTAGACCAACCTATGTATTCTTTCTGCCTTAATGGGAATTAATGAGCACTCTTTAATGAGAAAAATCTTAATTATGACTGTTAGCATGTTCAGTAGTAGCTGGCATATTTTTGTACTGTAAGAAGCAAAGTAGCATCCTGGTGGTGAGGGGTTAAGTCTTTGGAGTTTTGCTTATGCAAGCTATAAAATGATGTTAAGAAAAGAATAACCCCAGCCGGGCGGTGGTGGCGCACGCCTTTAATCCCAGCACTCGGGAGGCAGAGCCAGGTGGATCTCTGTGAGTTCGAGGCCAGCCTGGGCTACCGAGTGAG